TGCCGTTCCAGCTGCTGCTGCTGCTGCTGCGTCGCTGCTGCTGCTGCTGCTGCTCTCCTCGGAGCTCGCCAGCGCCGCCACAGCCGCCGCCAAGACATGTGTCAGTCGCTGCAGCAAAGGCATACTCGTGAAACAGAATAGTCAAAAGCAGCGACACTTGCGCAACAGCAGCAACAGCAGCAACAGCAGCAGCAGCAACAGGCGCAGCAGCTCACATGCATCGGGATTTCCTCTCCGTAGTCATGCACTATGAGCTCCGCCAAGGCGAGAAGTTCCCTGCGCTCTGCGCTGCAGCCTGGGGTCTGGATTAGCTGTTTGCTGCTGCTGCTGCTGCTGCTGCAGCAGTTCGTGCTTCTGGCAGCAGCAACTGCAGCAACAACCGCATGCAGCTCGCGCGGCACCTGCAGCGAGGCCCAGGCGCCTACTGCAGCAAGAACCAGCAGCCAGGCTTTAGGCCGCAGCAGCTGCCCCTGTGTCTGCAGCAGCTGCTGCAGCGCCCTAAGAGCAGCAAAACGAGACACGCCATTTGCTGAGGCCAGCAAGCTGCAGAGGCACTGCAGCGCGACGCACTGCAGCTCCGACTCTGCTGCTGCTGCTGCTGCTGCAGCGGCGGCGCTCTCTTCCGGACAAGCGGCAGCAGCAGCTGCTGCTGCTGCTGAGCAGCAAGCACCCATTTCAGGCAGCAGCACCTGCAAACTGAGACACAGACACCTCACAGTGTCTGCTCTTGCTGCTGGGCTTAGCTGCGGCGCGTCAGCAAGAGCAGCAAAAGTGAGGGCAGCACTTTCCTCCTCATCTGCTACTGCTGCTGTTGCTGCTGCTGCTGCGGGGGAGCCGTCAAACAGCAGCAACACGCGGTCGATGTTGTAGAGCAGCAGCAGCAGCAGCCGCCGCCAGCACGGCGGCAGCAGCAGCGCTTCGCTGGCGCAGCTGCTGCTGCTGCTTCTGCTGCTGAGCCTTTCCGCCCTGGGGCCGATGAAGGGCTCCAGCGAATTGCTGCTGCAGCCCTGCCACGTTGCGGTTGCTGCGCTGCCTGTTGCTGCTGCTGCTGTTGCTGCTGCAGTTGCTGAAATTGCTGCTGCGCACCCAGAAATTTGGCAAGGCCCTCCTTTGCTGCAACAGCAGCGGTCTGCGGTGTCCTGCTGCTCCTGCTGCTGCTGCAGCAGGCCGAAGCCTGCTGGCGTGTCTGCTGCTGCTGCTGCTGCGCCTGGGACGGAGGAGTACGCCTTCAGCAGCAGCAGCAGCGTGTGCTTTGCATGCGCCTGCAGCGCGCAGCGCAGGCCCTCTGTGCTGAGGTGTCTCGACACCAAACCAAAAGCAGCAAGTTCGCCCATACTAGCAGCAGCAGCAGCAGCAGCAGGTAAAGACGAGGAAGAAGGGGATGCTGGCTGCTGCTGCGCGCTACTGAAGTTGCTGCTGTCAAGGGCGGCTACGCCTTGAAGAGCCGGGGGGCAGGCTGAAGAAGCAGCGGACACAGCAGTAGCAGCAGCAGCAGCTGCTGCTGCTGCTGCTGCCTGCTCGCTAAGCCCCAAACCCCTCCAGTAAGCTGCCGCTGCTGCTGTCGCCTCGTCGGCCTCACGCTCTGCTGCTTCTGCTGGATCTTTGAAGGCGGAAGGCAAGCTAAAACTGCTAGAAAGCAGCGGCCCCACTAGCTGCCGCTGCTGCTGCTGCTGCTGCTGCTGTTGTTCGGCAAGCTCTGGCGGCAGCTCCTCAAGGGCTCTGAGGCACAGCAGCCAACAAGGAGGAGACAACAGACTGCCTAGATTAGAGACGACCGCAAACAGGAAGACACGAGCAGCAGCAGCAAGCTGCGACACCTGCTGCTGCTGCTGCGGCAGCACCTTGCTGCCGCTGCTGCTGCCGGAGCTGCTGCTGCCGTTTTTGCTGTCGCTGCGCCTGCCAAACAGCCACGTCAAGGCTTCAGAGCCACTTAGGCCTAGCGAGGCAGCAGCGCCCCCCGCAGCAGCAACAACGGCTGCTGCTGCTGATGTGCTGCTGCTGCTGCTGCTGCTGTTGCTGCTGCTGCTGCGCTGCACGTGGGGGCTGCTGTCCGATGTAGCAGCAGGAGCAGCAGCGCTGCCCATTGCAGCATACAAACAAAAGCGAGCAACTGCATGCAGCACTGCGGTGCATGCAGCAGCAATACGGAGGAGGCAGCAGACGAGCAGCAGCTGGTAGCAGCAGTTAAGCAGGGTGCTTGTTGCTGCAGCAGCAGCCACTTGCCGCGGCCACGCCGACGCAGTGTCCCTCTTGCTGCTGTTGCTGCTGTTGCTGTTGCTGCTGCTCGTTGCTGCCTGCAAAGTAAGAGACACATGAGCTGTCAGCAGCAAACCCAAAGCAGACACAAGAGGGCTCCAGCAGGCTGCAGCAGCAGCGCAGCAGCAAGCTTGGTGCTGCGTGAAAGGCAGATCCAGTGGCTGCTGCAGCAGCCGCCTTTGCTGCACCTCCGACTCCGCTCCAGCAGCAGCAACAGCAGCAACTGCTGCAGCAGGAGGCGCAGCAGCAGCAGCTTCCAGGGTTGCAGCAAGCAGCGCCTCCACAGAGAGCAGCAGCCCCGAGAGAGACACATGCAGCAGCCGCGACCGAGACACAGCAGCAGCAGCAGCAGCTGCTGCTGCTGCTTCGTCTTCTGGGGAACCCAGTGCAGCGCAGCACTCCAGAAGCCGCGGCGCTGTGTTCCACACGGCGCCCCCAGCAGAAGCAGCACCAGCAGCAGCAGCAGCAGCAGGTTCCGCAGCTGAAGTCTTGCTGCTGTTGCTGCTGCTGCTTTTCGCTCGCTGCAGTTCGCGAGAGCCAAACCCAATGGAGCTGAAAGAGCCGTGCCGTGCTGTTGAGGGATACTGCGTTGCAGCAGCTGCTCCCGCTGCTGCTGTTGTTGCTGCTGCTGCTGCTGCTGAGGGGCCCGCAGCGCTTCTACGTGGGCTGCTGCTTCGGCTGCTGTTGGTGCTGCTGCTGTTGCTCAGGAGAAAGGCAGCATCGTGAGGCAGCGCCACAGGCCGCATCTTGCTGTTGCTGATGCTGCTGCTGCTGCTGGTGTCGCTGCTGCTGCTGCTGCCGGAGGGA